AAAGAACCCCAGAGAAATTGCCAGCTCTTTTGATTTTTATGTCTATACGTGCAAATGTAATGCATTATGGTGGAAAATACAAAGGGATACAAAGACTGAGAATTAGAGACTGGGATCCTGGGAGGTCTCAACTTGGTCTCAACTCCCTCTGAGTCACCCCAGTTGAGGGCCACATTTTCCCAAGGGTCCTTGGCACCAAGGTGTGCAGCCACATTTAAAAAAGCACCTGATCTTTCTATTTTTTTCTTTTCTTTTTTTTTTTTTAAATCTAATTATTTATAAACACCCACCTCAAAAATCCACCTTGTCATGCCCATACATAACTGGCCCGTTTTGTCCATCCCTTTGGACAAATCCCCGTGCCAATCCTCAGGCTGGCATTTGCGGCTGCCGGGAAGGCGCCGTGTGTTTGTTGCTGCTGTTTGCTCTGCAGAAGGATCTGAAACAAGAAAATGGGCCTGTGAGGTGGTTTCGTAGCCCTAGTACAGAAATTGGACGAGCACTCACCATAGAAACGGCGGCAGTGTGTGAGCCTGGTGCTGCAGCACAAGAGAACAATGAGCAGTGTACCTAAACGCCTCCTTTGTATCCCTCTGCAGCCCGTGCTCCGTGGGGCAGGGACCAGGGACTGTGGGGTGGCACCTCTCGGGGGAAAAAGGGGTGGCCCCACTGTGTTTGGGATGCGGCAGAACTCCAACCTTACCCCAACTTTTAAGGGAATTAAATTTGCCAGGGACCGTTTTGCTTTCCTGGACTGAGGGTAGATCCCATCGGTTTGGGAAATTTTGAGATCCCTCTGACATGGAGCAAAATATGGGTGAAAATTTACCAGAAAGGGCTGTTCTCCTGCAGGATCACTGATTTAAAAATAGATAGCAGTTCCCAGTGCAGTGGTGTTTCATTTGTCGTGCATAACCAGCCCACCTGCCCACACTGTGCTTGGTGGGGTTGAATGTCTGAATCTGTGTCTGCCATGAACTTCGTGCAAACCCTTCTCCCCTCCTGCTCCCTCTTTGCCTTTTCCTTGGCCAGGAATGATACCTTCTGCCTGTCTCCCCGCAGTGTTGTGCACCTCAGTGCCTATGGGGTGAAAAATGCTGTATAAATGTTAAAGTATGTTGTTACAAATGTGAAAATGGTTTTGTTTGTTGCAAAATGGCACGTTTTAACGTTATACTCGTGTTAAAATACAAAATTCAGCCTCCTAGCAGTGAGCACCTGGAGAGCCTGAGTCCTGCTGCTGGTGTGTTTGTGCTGAGCACTTGCCAGTACCTCTGTGCTGGGTGGCCCCCAGCCCCATTCCCGTTCTCCTCACAGTCTCCAAAGAGCCCAAAAGGGATGCCTAGTGGTCTGCTCCAAAAGGAGAAGATGGATGTGTGTGGGGAGGAGAAGGTGCTGGGAAGGCAGGAGGCAGCTGGTGTGCAAGGCTGCCCGCTCTGCTAGGGGTGGTGCAGCGGGTCCAGCTGTGGAGCAGCATGTTTTGGGGTGAGCTGCTGGAGACTGCCAGCTTTGCTTTGCTTTTTCTTTTCTTTTTTTCTTTTTTTTTTTTTTTAATCCTCTTAAAAAAGTGTCAGGATAAAGAACTATCTTCCTTGGCTGCTTGCAAGAGTTGACACCTTTTTGAGTTGTGACTCAGACACTTAAATACAACCGTGGCTTCCTGTGGGCACCAGAGCTCTGGCCACATCCTCTGGCATATTTTGTGCCCTGCAGCCAGTTTGCTTTGGCAAAAGCTGGGGGAATTCAAATGTTACGAGCAGGTGCTTTGGAGTTTGGTCCATTCTCTGCATCGCAGCAGTGGTGCTTTGCCTTCTTCACTGGCTGCAGACCCTCACGTTCACCCCATTCTCCTGCAAATGCATCACCCTCGTGTAGGAAAAGGTGCACAAGCAAACCTGGTGTGTTTGAGCCAAGTGGAATGCCCTCAGTTGGGTTTACAGCAGGCTGCTTTCCATTTTCTGTAGGGTTTAAGCTAAACCACTTTCAAAGCAAAAATCAGAGTCCAGCTGCTGTGAACTCCTAATTGGCACCTCAGCACACCCTGGCCTGTCAGGCTGTCTGTAGGTGGGTACACAGGAGCTCCTCTAGCATGGATTTTTCCCATGGTGTGGCTTTGTATCCACACGTGGGCAGCGGGGCTGTGGGGTTGGAGCACCCCTGGCCCCGCAGCTCTGCCCCGTGTGTGGCTTTTCCTGCAGTCAGCTCAGCCTGCTGGTGTGTCTCTGTGAGTTTGGTCAGGCCTTAGCGTCCTAAACTGGGAAGAATTTCATAAAGCACTAGAAACCCAACTTTGGGAGCTAAATAATAATAATCAGGATTTTTTTTGTCCCCCCCCTCCCCCTTCTCCTTACTACAAACAAACAAAACCCCTGCATTGCAGCAACTGCTGAATTGCCTGTACCACAGTCCTGGTGATTAATCACTCCTCTGGTGAAACTGTGAGCAACTGGAACCGAAAAGGACATTTTTTTTTGTTAGACTACATTTCACTTTTGCTTTTTTTTTTGTTTCACTCCATTTACAGCTTGAAACGTTTCCTGGTGGCACCGCTGTGAGCCTGGTGCTGGGAGGAGGCTCCGCTCCAGGACGCACTGGAACTCCTGGAGGTGCTGGCACTGCTGGAGACAGGTCCCTGCTGTCACCTCCTGCCTGGGCCTGGGGGGGGTGTCTCTGGGTTTTTCCTGCTCTTTAACACATGGCATTAGATTTGCAGAGCATTTGCTCTTCGTGGTTATTGCAGATCTCGGTGTCCTGCAGTGAGCTGCCTGGGGAACCCATCTGGACAGTCTTTAGTGAGGGCAGGAATTCGTGGTGCCCTTTGTATTTGCTCATCTAACACTCAGCCTTTTTGTTTTTCCATTTTTTTTCCCTAAAGTTTTCATTGTTTTCAGCACATTCCTAATACTATGAAGAAGATGATCAGGGGCCAGAGAACTGACCCTCTTGTACTATATAACGGGTTTTTTTTTCCCCAGAGTTAGAACTCTTGTTCTTTCTGTCCTGGCAGCCCCACCTCAGCAGTGTGGGCTCTGCCTGTCCATCAGCATGGAGAAGCAGCAATCCTGTGGGGAAAAAAGTACAGTCAGTCAGGCCTGCAGCAGACTCTGGAAGTGTAAGGGAACTGAACTGGGATTGCCAGTGTAATGTGTTTCCTGACCTTGGTGGCCTTTACAAGCACAACAGAAAAGTGTTTTCGCCTTGTGGCTGTGGTTATTAATATTTTCTAGAGGTTTATCAGACCATGGCAGAGACTCATCAGCAGAGGGAAGAACACTGGGGGGCTGGTGTTGTTTCTGCTCATCCTTTGCCGTGTTTGGTGAACAACACGAGGTGCCAGGATGCTGTCTGACCACAGACACACGTTGTTCTGCCAGGCTGGTGAACTCCCTGTGGGGAGCACATGGAAAGGGGAGAGCGATGCTCTTAAACCTCTGCCACCTTGCAGATGGAGGGGGGAAATCTCTGAATGATGTGCAGGGCAAGTCTGATGCACGATTAAAGTCTGAGTGACGTTGAGGCCTCATGATATCATATTTATAGACTCTATAATTAAATAAGCAAAGCAGATCTTCAGCCACAGTCAGGAGACACATACTATTGCTGTCCCATTCCCAGCAAGGCCATTGATGTGTGGCAGAGAGGTCTGAACAGGAGCTTATGGGCATAAAAGTGTCTTTTTTTACACTGTGTGGCTGGTTTGATAGATGTTACCTCTGCCTCCCTCCCTGTGTTGACTGTGATTTCACTTTCCTCCAAAGCAATTGATTTTCTCCCTGGGGCTCCAGCGATGGTTCTGTCACTGTCTCTCCTTGCTGCTGCAGCTGGTTTTGCTGTGCAGGGGTTCTCTCATGGAGCTGTGACTCCAGGAGATCAGTTGGCCACTGCAGCAGTTCAGATTTGCAGGGTCTCATTCATGGCTCTCTTTTCCTTTTTTCCCTTTCCCTGCAGAACACAAGTGCCCAGTGGACCAGAGGGAGCAGTTGGAAGAAACCCTGCCTCTGATTCTGGGCCTGATCCTGGGCTTGGTGATCGTGATCACCCTTGGCATTTACCACATCCACCTCAAGCTGACAGCCAGCCAAGTGCAGATTCCTCGGGACAGATCTCAGTACAAGCACATGGGATAGGGAGCAGGATCGAGCAACCCGAGTATTCATCAGGTAGAAAAAGCAAAAGCACTTTTTTTCCTGTGGGTGAGGAAAGGTTAGGGGGGGGCAAGAGATGGTATTCACAGCACCTCATGGTGAGCATTTCATGGGGACACGCAGGTCAGGGCCGGGCCTTCACTCAGTCAGGGCAGTCTGTAAGAGGACTCGGTGTCTGATGTGAGGTGTCTGTGGCAGTAGGTGGTTTGAATACCTTCTTAAGCAGCTGGGCTGATCATCTGGAAACAGAAATGCTTCACATGTCAAAGTTTAACATTGGGAGCAAAATTAGCTTTTTTTCTTTTTTTTTTTTTTTTTTTTTTTTTTTTTTTTTAACCTCTCCCCTGTGCTGCTCTGGGAAGTGTTGAGCCCTCTCTGCTCCTGTCCATGCAGGGAGCAGGGCTGAGGGACAGAGTCCCTTCATTCAGGCCCTTTAATGAAGGGACTCAAACCACATTCCTAAGTTTGCACCCATGTTAAGGACAGCATGGAGGCAAATACAGGTTGTGTTTTGAAAAAAAAAAATAATTAAAGGTCAGAACCTGGAGCTGATATTAATTGGAATAACTCCAGTGGAGCAGATCACAGTCAGCTGTGGAGCTGACCCCACACTTGAGATCGAGTGAAGAAAGTTTGTTTTTGCTTCTTGAGCCACATCTGAACTCAACTTTAAAAAAAAAAAAGTTTAAAAAAAAAAAGTATTGATACACAAATTATAAAGTGCCGTGCTACTGCAAGTCAACTGAGAAATGCTTCTGGCTGGACATCCTGCACGTATTGTGATTGTTGTTGAGATGTTACATTGCTACCTGCAACTGATATTTTCACAACAAAACAAAAAAAAAAAGAAGAAAACAGTAATGTTCAAGTTACTATGCAGATTATTCAGGTATAATCTAATGTAACAGAAAAAATATAAGGGAGTCCTCGAAATCTATCCTTAAATGTAGACAATTTTTAAAATTAATTAAAACATGTACATACATAATAACTTGATTTGCCTTCTTCTTTTGAAATGATGTAATGCTTTGTCCTAACTCCATGATACCTCATGGAATTGGTGCAAAAATACCTCTTGCTGAGTGGATGTTAAATGTAGGATTTATTCTAGCAGGAGTTTTGGAGCAGATGGTTTGGTGAAGATATGGTGGTGGTTCAGTATTCTGTGATTTGTTGGTTATTTTTAATATTACTCTAATCTCTTGGTTGCTTTTCTTACATGTTTTGTGGGCAATGGTGTTTCAATCTGGTACTGCCCAGTTTCCAGTGAAGCCTTTGACTTCCCTCAGCAGGAGTTAGTCCAGGCCTTGAGTTAACTTAGGGTATGCAAAATACTTTCTCGTTCTTTAAGCTGGTTTGATCCAAGCAGTGACTCAGACAGACTGTCCTCTTTCTGCTTAAACCCAAATAATAATCAAAAAAACCCAGTAATTTCAATGCTGTGAAATGTAAGAGGAGAAACTTCACTGGCTTTTAATGCTGTAACCTCCTCCAGAATTTACAGGTTTTTTTGTTGAAGGTGGATGCAGCACGAGCCTTCCTTTAGTCTTGTCTTACTCCTGGTCTCATTCCTATATATTATGCTTGGCTTTTTTTTTTTTCTCATTTGGATTTAAGAAGCAAAATTATTGCACTATTGGTGCTTGTGGCTTTGCCCTTTTCTCTCAACACTCCTGTGAAAGTGTTCTGGGCAGGCTTTAGCTGACCGAGTGCCACTGCCTACAATGAGCTGATTATTAAAAAAAGGTTGTTTTAGAGGCAGTTAGGAAAAGCCAAAGGTAGCAGGAGGGTGAATAAAAGGATTAAAGGTTCATCCTCAATAGAGAGGAGCCACAGTTATCAGCTTTGTCCTGCCTCACCCTTGTCTACCCTCCAGCCAGAAAGGCTCTCCCAGCCAGCTCCATCAGCCTGGCACATCTGTTCCTGTATTTGACATCCAAAAGAATAATGGGATTAAAAAAAAAGGAAGCAAACAGCTGAACTGCAGATGCCAGAGGAGCCCCTCCATGGTCGTTGTCTCCCAAACAGCACACTGTGGCCGGGTGGCTGCAGGAGCGGGATACTGGGATGGCCCCGTGTTTGAAGGCAGCGAAACCTGGGGCTTGGCTGAGCTGCCAAGTGTCACTGTAGGAGAGGGCAGTGGCTGAGGGATGGGCATAATATCCCCAGGGTGGTTTGGGAGTTTGTGCCTTGCTCAGCTGAAGCTGCTGGTGGGTTTTAGCCTTCAGCCTTTGGCCCCGTTGTTGCTTCTCCCCCTGCAGAAGGTGAGCGAGACCCGCCTGGTGTAACTGGGAGATGCTCTCAAACATCTCAACGTGTGGTTAAGGTGGAAAAAATGCTAATTTATGGCCGACTCTGCAAACTGATTTTAATTCACCCTGCAGTGACCCTGTTGGGGTGGTCACAGCAGGGCAGCTCACAGGAAGCTGTCCTTGCCTGATCCTGCTGCTTGAGCCCTGGCCAGTGCACTGAAGTGGGGCTGACCCCCCAAAAACTGGTGCAGCTCCTGTGACCCTCTGCCTACAAACATCAAGAACTTTTGTTGCTTTTCATGTCAGATGATGGAGGTTTCCCCTTAGGAAGCTCCTGGCATCACTTTCAGGTGGAGTGTGTCTGTAAGCTATTAGTTGCATGAATACAGTAATTATTTTTGTTTGTTTTCTGAATTGATAGAAAATAATTTTTTTGTTGGATTGAAATGTTTTTCCCTCTCTTTTGGGGGGAAGAAAGGAAATAGAACCAATAATTTCAGCTCACTGGCAGTTTGTGCCCCAGACTGATGTATGTTGTATAAAGGAAGTTATTTATGATGTTGGGTGAAAACCCTTTGAATATTTTAATCTTTTCCATCCTTTTGTTAATATTTACTGAATTTGATCTGAATTTTCCATTGCTTAAGGCTTTTCAAGCCTATTTATGAAAAAATTATTTATGAGGTTATAACAGCTGTCCAGCTTCCCTCCTGCCCATTCAAGCTACAGCAGCATCTTAAGGATGGCAGCACTTTATTGTGATTTAATTTTATATTTATCTTTCATTCATTGATGGCTTATTATGGGCTAGCTGCAAATTGAATGCTTTGCTTTATATAGATGTTTATGAACACACCAGTTCATGGTGGATAAATATAAGAAACTTATCACCCTACTGAGCTCTTTAAGGACCTGTAATAATTAGGCACTTACTAAAGCAGCTGCTAATGACTTACCAAGTACTTATGATTAGAACTTTAATTATAAATTATTGATGTATTGCTGAGGAGGGGACTTACACAGCCAGCAAATGTCCCGGCCTCTGCTACTGAAATGATGGGGATTTGTGAATGCTTTTAGAACTGTGACCTCAGAAAAAGCCATCATTCCTTAGTGCCAGGTGGGAATAAACTCCCTGGAGTACCTGGACATAACGTGGAGCTCGGCATCAGCTTCAGTCAACTGTGCAACCCAAGGTAACAGACCGTGGTTATTCCCTGCTTTTTGCCCAGCTCTGGCTTTATTTGAAGTGCTGAGGGTGAAACAGCTGAAGTTAAGATTTCTTGTTTGTTTGTTTGGGGTGTTTTGGTTTTTTTCTTTTAGGTGATGGCTAATGTATCTTGAAATATTTACTGATGTCAGCAACCGAAAGTAATCAAGAGTAATATAAAAACCTCACTTATAAGACTTGGAGGTGGCAAATAACATTGTAGCTTCATCAGCTGACTGGTGCTGCTGGGGAAACTGGGAGGAATGTTGTCAGCAGGCGTGAGAGCGGAATGGTTGTAAGCCAAAAATTAAGGATGTGTAAGGCCAAAAAAAAAAAGGGATTATTTAAGAGGCAGGGAAAGCAAGGTGGAAATGTTCCAAGAGGGACAAGTCCTTCTGGAGAACTTCATCTTGCAAAGGTGTGTGGGTGTGCTCGTCACTTCTCAAAATGCTCTGTACTGTCTGACTGACCACAGTCTGGAGGTTTTATTCAAGTGCTGGCATTGCCAACTCGTGTTGAAACATGTGGGTTTTTTCTATGTTTAGAGGAGAATTGTTTATTTTTCTAACGTAAGTGTGTGTGTGTACATGGGTATGTTTGGGGGGGGCCTCTCAGAATGGTGAAATCACAGTATCTTGGTTTGAAATGCCTATTTGTCTACTATTCTTCTAAATTTAAGCCTGATGTTCTTGGGTAAGTCTTTTTTTTTTTCCCCCTTAATTTTGGGTGAAGGAAAACTCTTTTTTTCTTATTTGCTTGGCCCAGTATTGTGGGACTGAGTCAAATTTATAAAACAGCAAAAAGACACAGGGGAAAAAACCACACTGAAACTTGAAGTGTTTATTAATTAATTTATTTAACTTGCATGTGCATTTGTCTCACCAGTAGCTGGTGTTCACAAAAAAAAAAACCTTTGAAATCGACAAAACTTTCAGTAAACTTGATGAACACTGTTTTAAAGTATCTAATGATAAGAAAGTTGCAGAAAATTCTTCACTTGCACAGCCTAAAATGTGCTGAATATTGAAGAAAAAAACCCCCCAACAACCCCTTTTTTTAATTTTTTTTTTTATTTAAAGATGGTTAAAAAAGTTTAACTTTTGTGGCTAGTACTACAGTTGTGCCTGTATGCCATTGCCTGGACTGGTGCAGCCGGTTTTCCTGAGTTGTCAAGACTACAAAACAGACCCCCTGGAAGGCTGTGGGTGCTGCTCTCGGCTGGGTGGGCACCGGGAGCGTGTTCGCGGCGGGGCGGCGGGAGCCAAACACATTTTCTGTAGTGCCCTCTTAAAATGTGCAAACAGGGTTAAGAAGAGAAAGCAGAGCGGGAGGAGTAAGACACACAGATGTGAGAACATCTATTCAATGTTCCAGTTCATATTTATCTCCCTTTTTTTTCTTTTTAAATTGCTTCTCTCCCTTCAAATACTCTTTTAAGTTTTTAAGGGCAGAACTAAAGGAGCTTCTTTATTATTGGCAACTCTTTTCTCCCAGAGGAAGATCTTTAAGCAACAGCTCCTGCCAGGTTTAGATGTTTGGTTATAATTTACTACAATAAATAACAATTAATTTATCAACTATGAAACTCCATCATAAGAAAGAAACTGCGTTTTCACAAAGTTGGCTTTGTGGTTCCTTAAAGATACCGTAAAATGAGGTCAGTAAGAAAAAAAAAACAACCAAACTTGAAAAACATGGCTTTTGTATCATACATAATTAAAAAGAACTAATCATTAATAAATAAAAATCATTTATCATTGAAATAATTATGAAGCACTTCTAAAAATTTTAAAGGCAAATCTATTTAGGCCTACAGTTAACATGCAAAGTCATCCAACAAATAACACAAAATTGTACCGTAGTAGTCAACTGTTGCATCAACATTCAGAAAGGTCTGGACAGCAGCAGGACTTCTCCTCTCTGGCAAACATCTGGCAGCACATCCCACAGGTCTGCCGGAGCTCTGGGGATCCCGCTGGGTGATCCCTTCCCGCTGCCAGAGCTCGACAGAAACAACAGAGGCTTTTGTGGTGGCAAAACTGGCCCGGTGGTGGCATAAAAAAAGGGCTGGCCGTGGCCTGGGCTGACCCTGGAGCAAAGGCAGGCTGGGTGCGTTGGCTCCCACCCTGGGGAAAGGGGAGGGAGACCCAGGTGCCCACTCACATTCAGCAGCAGCTCTGCCACTGCATCACAGCCAGGCTGCCAGAGTGCCCACAAACATCACTTATCCTTGGCTCTTCAGGCTGCCGAGAGGGTGGGATGAGTGCTCTCCTCACCCCATGGGAAATCTGCAAAACCTTACAACTTCCTAAAGGTGGTTGTGGGCTTTTTTTTTTTTCTTTTTCCTGTTTTCAAAAGGGTTAAAAAAGTAGGAAACTTTAATCTTCTCAAATTCTCGCTAAGGTAACACTTATTACTTCAACTAACACAACAGTTACATGACAAAGTACTGCAAATTATCAAAACGGACTGTACAGAAAATTACAAACTCGTTGCAAAATACATTGCGCTGCTATGACCGAGATAAAAAGTGCTTTGTTTTGTCAGAAAAGCGTTCTTCTGAAACAGAAGTGCCGTAGCCTGCAGTGGAATTCCGGTGTTTCGCTCTGGCTGTGCTCTCCTCGTTACCTTTCCAACCTGTGCATTTGGTGCCTTCTCCCGGGATGGCTGGGAACACAGCAGCGCTGGGGAGCGATGGTCCAGGGTGGAGCGTGGCCTCCCAGCTGGGACCAGGATCACTCCCCTGCCCCTCACACACAGGGAGCACAGAGAGCACTTCCTTGGTTTTTTTATACACTGCATTATTTAGGCAGGGCTGGTTTTCCTTCACAAGGTTTTACTCCTCCCTGCCTGTAGTTCCCACACAACTGCCGGCATTCCCACACGGCCGTTATCCAGACTCTGCACTGACCTTTTCCCAAAAAGCTGCCGGCTTCAGCGATGCCTGTGTTGCCTCATGAGGGGCACAATGCAAGAAGGGGGCCCAGCCAGTTTGAGGAAGGGGTGCCTCAGCAGTTCCTGTGCCGTGGCTCTCTGCGAGGGCTCCCGCACCAGCATCGAGTCCAAGAAGCCCCGGAGCACTGAGGAGACCTGCAACACCACACTGGTGTTAGGGGTGGATAAAAACATCCCTCTCTGGCTGTGTGCACACTGCTTTTCTTGGGAAGACAAGGGACACAGTGATTCTGCCTATGGTAACAGCTGTACTGAGCTGAAGGGCTGTGTCTTCTACATGCTGCTCATGCTGAAACCATTTGGGTATCAGTGGGGTGCAGAACAGCAGCCCCTGCATAGCTCTGCATGTGGGGGGTGAGAAAAGCATTGATGTGGGCTGAGGGCTCAGGCCTGAAGCACACCCAAAATGGGAGATGCACACAGGGTTTGGCACTGGATGTGGACATGCAAACCCACCCACAGCACTCCTGATGTGCTGACTTGCTCTGGTCCTGGGGCAGCTTGGGAAGCACAGGGAACACGAGGCTCTGCCCAGCTCCCTTTGCCATCACTTGCTGCAAAAGCCAAGCCAGGGCTGGGCACAAACAAGGCTATGGCTGATGGCTTTGGTCTCGCATCCTCCCCGCACAAGTCCTGTGCAGGACCCACTGCTCCAGGTGGGACCTTAGAAGTTATCAGCTGGGCACTCAAATGTGTGCCTATAGTGTTATTAAACATGTCACTGCTCAAGACCTTCATCACCTAATGGGAAGTCTGACCTTGTGCATGTCCTTCACCCGGGGCGGGAGGTTGTCCCGGATCCGGCGCATGGCCTGCAGCGGCGGCTCATTGAAGTAGGGAGGTTCCCCATCAATCATCTCTATCACCATGATGCCCAGGGACCAGATATCCACCTGGAACACACAGACTGGTCATGAACACTGCTGGTAGTGCAGGGGGGCCCAACAGGCTCAGCACTGGGACTCATGCAAAGCTTGGAGATGGCTCGTGCCACTGTCTGTGGCCAGTCTAAGCCAGCAGTCTGGTGAGCCATCACCATAAATCTTTACCCAGCTGAGAATGCTCTTGCCTTATGAGCAGTAAGTGATGGATGAAATGGATTAGCAGTGACTTACAAACCCGGGTCTGCAGCTGGTTTAGGTGCTGTCCACTGGAAGCCCTGTGCACTGGAGAGGCTGCACCCTCCTGCCCTGCATTCCAGCTGCACTGATTGCAGCCACTGACTGCCCACCCCAGGCTGGCTCTGCAGTGCTGCAGCCAGGGAGAGAGCAGAGCACAACTCGGCTGCTGTGAAATCAGTTACTCTGTGTCCCCCGAAGCTCAAAAACAACAGGAACTCCATTCAAGACCCCAAGGCAAACACAAGCACTTAACTACACCCAGGACCGCTTCCAGCCAGCAGAGGTAACACATTATATAATCCCTCTGGAAAATGATTCAGCTCCAGATAAAAAAAAACCCAAATAACTCAACACTACTTTTCTTTTATTTTGGTCCTGGCTAGCTGCAGATCTGTTCCAGAATTCCATTTCTCTAATGACTGTAATTCGTGTCATTCGCCAGCCCAAATACAACCAGGGCCAGTTCATGCTGCTTTTCACTTTTCCCAACACTATCCTTTAGCCCAAATCCTTTTTCTTTTTCCCTTCTGGTGGGGAAACCTAATGTAGCCATAAGTTCAGCCACTTTATAATCCTTCCAGTGCTATTAATGGGCTAATAATACCTGATGTTATTACCCCTGGAATGTCTTCCATAATGGCACCTGTCCTGGGAGCACGTCAGTGCCTGTGGGGTGCTCTCACCCTGGGGCTGTGCCAAAACAGTTCCTGCTGCATCTCCTGTCTCAGCTCATTTCCCCTTCTCTGTGCATGTATATTTCTGCATCTCTACATTTATGTGTGTGTGTATATATATGTATATAAATATATAATATGTGTGTATCTGTGTATCTGTATTTTTGACTCTATCTGCCTTGCAGGGTTGCTCTCTGCAGCTGTTACTATCAGCACTATCAGCACTATCAGGCAGAAGCTCCTCTCCCCACGCAGAGGAGCAAAGGCAGCCGTGTCTCCTGCTGGGGAGCCGTGAGTCACTGTCACGGCTGAGCGCGGGAGAGGGGATTGCTCTTCCCAGGCTGGCAGTGCAGGAGTGCTGTGACTCAGAGCTTCCCAATGGATGGGATATGGCACTGCAGACCTTGCTGGTCTCCTCTGAAGGGTTCTAATAAAAATGTGTGGATTGTCTTTTTCAGAACAATTTGGCAGGGCTTAAAATAGCTCCCACAGACGTGCTTCCTCTACCCCTGTCTCTCAGCTAATGAGAGCAATGACTGCAAGGAACGAGCCGATGGGGACACCAGTGCTACCACAGAGGGTGGCAATCCTACCCATCCAGCTGGCTCAAGTGTTTGGGACCCTGTGGGACCTGTGCCTCTGCTGGCACTCCTCAGAGCAAGGGAATCTCAGGCTTCAGCGGGATGAAAGCGGAGTGCAAAAACTGGTGTGACCTGGCTGTGCAGTACAGCTGCATAACCTGGCTGCAGGTTTGGCACATGCAGGTGTGGACACCTGTGACTGCAGCTCCAGGCTTTTATATTAAAGAGCATCAAAGGGTCTTTCCAATGTGAAAATAAGACCAGTTTCCTTTCCTACAGCACCCTAAGTGTAAATACGTAAAGGCATTACACTAAGTGTGCTAAATGGAGTTGTTAATTAACGACTTCATCTCGGAGAAACACTTTAAAAGGAGCCGCGATGTAGCACTCTGGGGCAAACGTAATTGCTGCTATTTAGCATATCTATGTAAATGCCTTTGAACTGCACGGTGCTCCCTGAGCTCCGTGGGGTCGACCAAGGCACCCCACAGAGAGCAAACAGCAGCTCTGGGTCCCTGCCGTGCCCCCTGCACTCACCTCGGTGCCGTAGGGCAGGCGGGATATCACCTCCGGAGCCATCCAATACGGTGTCCCAACTAGCGACTTCCTCCTGGGAACCTCCTTGGACACTTGGGCACAGAACCCGAAGTCGGACAATTTTATCTGAAAAGGAAAAGCCCCTCTTGAGTAACAAGGCGCATTCCTGTGAGACACACGTGCCTCTGAAACACCTCTGGCTGCAGCGGGAGGGACGGGGATGGAGCTGCAGCGTCTGGCTGGGACAGGACAGCAGCACAGTTTTGCAAGTGTGTCTGGAGACGGGAACACAGCCTGGGGAACTTTAAATTCACTAAAATGAAGGCAAGGCAAAGACGTAGGAGAGTGAAAGTGGTGTTCATTACTAACGTCATCTGTCACACCTCATTGCCTCTCCACCAGCAAAAGATGCAGAGGTGATAAATGGCTTATAATGGTTAAAAACAGAAGGAAAGCAAAAAATTCTGAAGTAACAGTCTTATAATGAATCTATTATTGCATATATATAAACCCCATGTCTGCAGTTATGTATGCATGCTGATACTCAGTAATAAACACATTCCAAGTGATGCACACCCCTCCTGGGATGTGTACCCAGGAACATGACCTGTGAGTTTGCCAGAACACAGGTGAAACAAGTGGCATTCACCCCATTCCCTTTTACCACCGAGAGCATGACCCAATACCCACAGAAAGCAAAACCCCTGCCAATGGTTTTTTTAAGACCAGGACCTCACACCATGGACTGTCACTAAAGAAAATGTCATCTTTATGTAGTAACAGCTGATTTCGGAAAGGTGGGGAAGGGCACAAGACTCTTCCAAAAAAGAGTTAATGGGACCTGCTCCCTTTGCTTGGGAACTCAGGAATTAGTACTGTCCTTGAGTAGCTGTGACAGTGACCTGAAATAGAAATAATGGGATACACAAGCACTCCGGAGAGCAGCTCTTGCTGCATCATGTGCCTACTCATACTTTTATGCCAGTTTTTTTTAACAACAGAAATTATGGAAAATTATCACCTCCCCCTCCGTGTCGCTGTACAATGCCAAGGTGAAAACTCCTCCAACCCCCAAACAAAACAAGCTGGTCTGAGTGTCAGTGGCATCACCCCCTTCCAGAAACAGCTTGTTCCTTAAGGCTGAAGTCTCTTCCCCCCCTTCCCCCCCAGGAGTTATTTGAAGGCCTAGAAGCTATCACAGGGGTTTTCCTGGGCATTATCCTAACTCCCATCACTCCCGGTTATAAGCTGCACAGTGCCACGGTGACCCAAGGTCCATAGGCCGTGTATCCCATCACATACTCAGCACCTGGGAATACAAAATGAACCCCAACAGCCCTTGGACAATGGGAGTGGGAAGTTGCATAAATGCCTGCATTGACTTGTCAGCACTGATTTGTTTTCTTTTGGACTCAGTGCAGACACTACTTTTTTTAAAGCTGTGGGTGTTATTTTAAAGAGAATTATGAAATGATTGTTGGTATTTCTAAAACAATAATAGCCAAGTTCTCCATGCTAAATGTATTTTTCAGTTTACTGGATGAAGAATGGAAGAAATAATGCGTATTTTGGAAGCAGACTCCAATCATCTTTTGTAGGAGCACAAGAGGTTTTGCATATCTATTGCTCATTCGAGTACATAAAAGACAACGATTTTCTAAAAAAAGGTAATTGCACAACACAGCCATGAAGAAATCTGCAATGCAGATAATAAGTACTGGAGTAATGAGTATAATGAGGCACTGTATGCAGATCCCAGCACAGATCAGATGTTATTTCAGCAACATGGATTGAAATCCCAGCTGAAGAACTCCTACACACGTGGGATTTTCTTTCCTTGACAGGATTAATGGGAGCAGCCTGTGACTGCTGCAGGAAGAAAAGCCCTATTCCTTGGTGAAGTGGGTATCAAATTAAACAAGGGAGCCTTTGGTTAAGGAGTCAGACCAGGCCTGGGAAGCCAAGAGCTTCACCTTCTGAAAGGGAAGGTCTAGATTTGATTCCAGACCAACAGGCTCAGTCCAACCTGCTAAGTCTTGCTTTAGACATCTGTGTAACAACCTGTAATTTTGTGTGCAAACTTCATTTTGCTTACTGAGCAAGTCAAGTGCAGCATTTTGTCCCCCTCTCTCCCTGCTCAAAGACCAATTAACTGGCAGCAGCATCCCATCCAAGTACATGGCAGTGTGGAACTGGCATTATCAAGCATTTCACAAATATAAAAGCTACTCTGACCATCAGGGGAGGGTTTCAGCAGTAATGCACATTATTATTTTAGCACAGAAAGGTGTTAGCCTTCTCACCAGCTTGGAGAAACAGCACAGGTACAGCAGCTGCTAACAGAGCACACATACAGAGGTTGCTAACTGAGGGATAACTAAGTGTAGTAAAAAGGAAGTATTTCTGAGAGGCATCACAGTAGGAGTGGGGCAGCCTAAAAGATGATCTCCCATCACCTCCTGTCACCGACCCATCACCCACATCGTGTAGCTCCTTCTGCCACTGCCTTTTGATGGCTGCAATCCCTCCCCAAGGGATTGCTGCCTGCAGCACAGATGTCCATCACCAGCCAGGCCAGGCCAGGCCTGTGTTTTTGGGATTCAGCTCTCCAACGAGTCACTCACAGGTCACACCCTGCAGTTTCACAGGCCTGGCTCATTTTTTTCCAGGCAGTGTCGCCCTGAAGGGGCACAGCTGTTTTCATGGTAGCCCTGGGAGCTGGGGAAGGGCTGGGTGCTCACCCTGCCGTCGCTGGTGAGGAGGATGGAGTCGCTCTTGATGTCGCGGTGGATGACGCCCTGGTTGTGCAGGTAGGACAGGGCTCTCAGGACAGACAGACAGACCGTCGCGATCTGCTCCTCGTTCATCCTGAAACAGCAACGTGGGAAAACCGGAGTGTTAAGGAAGACAGTGGGAAAGGGGAGCTGGAACAAAGCAACACGAGTTCCCCTTCAGGCCAGTGTACAGATCTTTTGGGCAGTGGCTCTGTGGGGTGACTCTCTGGTCCTATTTCTGACCAAAAACATGGGATGAGGGTGAGGATCAACTCTGCAACGAGGTCTGGATAAGTCTCCCTGCAGCACTAAAAAAGCTGAGTGCTCCATGTGATGCAGCCTGTGACAGTGAGCCCATTTCCCTCTGGGAAATAAGGGGAATGCCTTATTTACAGTAAGCTCAGTGCTTGCCAGGGAGTGTGAACCACCACTGGGATGGAAACAGGCGTGGAATGAATATGAGAAAAAAAACCACTCCTAATTGTGCAGACAAAACATCAAGCCCTGGGTGTAGCTCTTGGGGAGCACTTTTATGCCTTCTGTAAAAATATTCTGGATATTTCAGCAGAAAAATAAACAAGAGGCCTCACTTCTATGCAAGGTTGAAAACACCCATTTTGGGGTGGGTTGTGCACCCTGGTACTGCTGCCCCATCGCTGGATGTCCCCATCACCTCTCTTACATGAGTAGAAAAACTCCTGTGGAGATTTCTGCTCTAACTTTGTGTGCCATTTGTAGCAAAATCTTTGAGGGAAGGTCATGCAATGTAAAAAAAACCCAGAAGATTAAGAAAAGACTGTTTTGAGTTAAAAAATAGATGACAGCTCTTAAGAAGTGGTGTCCTGGGAACATCTGTTTGCTGTTAAACTCCTGTCAGAAATATCTAAGATAGAGCTTTTAATGTTTTGGGTTGCAGTAGTTAACAAATGACTTGCAATATTGTGATTTATTTCAGCACACAAGTTAAGGAAGCAATAAAAAATAAAATACCTGTGTTACAGCTCTGCTCTTGGTAGGGTCTAAGAGCATCACTAAACTATGTTCTCTCATAAATTTTCTAATTTATTATTCCTTACTTTTCTTCTTGCTCCCCTAAATACTCTCCCATTGATTTGGTGTGGAAATTTTAATTTTTCTTTTATTCAAGAGGAAGAAATTAAATAAAGAATCGCTCTTCCCTATTTCATTATCAGGAGCAGATGAGCAAAGATCAGGTAGAAAGAGGGCTGTAAAATCTAATGTCTCCTCTCAGAAGAGGCAGAACAGCTCCATACACTGCAGCTCTTGTGCTGGTGGATCACCTGCTTTAAAGGTGTGACATTAACTGAAATATGGGAACGTGCTCTACCACAAGCACAAATATTCTGATATAAAAACTCTCTTCCCTTTATGTTTTAGGCTTGGTTTGCAGATAACCTTTCTGACAGCCTGGTTACACGGGTTGTGAGTATGGAGAGAAACTACCCTTAGGACTGATGTGGTCATGACAGCAAAACTAACAATGCAGATCACCAAACAGGGAAAAGAACATTTTTGGTGGGGGGCTATTTTTAGGAAGTAATGGATAAAAGTTGTGTTGCTGATGAACTACCAACTAAATTGCACCAAATCCCCATCTACCAGCAAGCCCTCTCAGGTATTTCTTTCCCTTTGATTTAAAAAATGCTGGTATTGACAGGGATTCCTCTGCAGTGGTTTATTTATGCTGGTAAAGGAAGCATGTTATGTATGGGTATAAGTGTATATACATCTACATCTATATTTAGATATAGATATATATATAGAAATATATAGTGTATATATATAGCTATGTATATATACATATATGCATAGATAGCTACATGCATATATGCATATATATTTATGTATATATGTTTTATATATATATTTATGTATATAAATATTTATATATATATGTATATATGTTTTCCATGAATGTATATGGCACGTATTTTTATGCTTTTATATATGTATTTTGTATGTACTTACAAATACACAGTCATTTATAAAAATGTTTTATATATATAAAAATAAATACAGTATAAACATATACACACGTTATATATACATAAAATAAAAATAAGAATAAAAAAATAAAAATAAAACAAGAATAAGATTAAAAATAAAAATAAGAATAAAAATAAGAATAAAAATAAAACAAGAATAAAAATAAAAATACATATATAAAGCCAGGAGGTGCCCAGCTGCCCCCAGCAGCAGGTGAGCTCCGGAGGGCACGGTCCAGAGGAATCCATGAGGAAAAGCCAGGGCATCTCCCCCCCAGCCAGGCTACATGTTGGGCTTTAGGCTGCAGGTCCCTCATCCCACCTGGTGTGAGTGACGATGTCGGTCAAAGCGCCGCCCTCCAGGAACTCCATCACCACCCAGAGCTCGTCTCCCACGAGGTAACTGTTGTACATGTCGACCACGTTCTCGTGGTGGTAATCCCTCATGATCACCACCTGTGGGGCACAGAAGGGCGGCCTGTGAGTCGCTACAAGCGTTGTCTGACACTCGCTCCGACCTTCTTTCTCGCTGTGCTGTTCTCTCGGTGCTCGCTGAAGGTTCTGGGATGAACCACATCCTCCCAAACCCTTATAGCCAGCACATAAACAAAACCAAGGTATTTACATAAAAATATCAGTCATCGTAAACGCACCAGGAGGAACGAGGAATCTCTAGCTGCCGAAGTATGAGCGGTAGATAATTGTTTTATTTCAGCCTGCAGGAACAGAACTGTTTATTTAATTGGTTTTTTATTGCCAACTGCCTTCAGTACAACACAGATTTATTCTTTTTTTTTAACCTGATCAATTGTTCACCGCATCAAAGTCATTTTCATCATGTACCTCGTGGTACTTTGCACGGAATTTTCACAGAATGCTGGTAATGCAGGGGATGACTCAGATCCCACATCTACAAGGGACTGTACAACTGGGACCACAGTAAGAGCAGCCCAGCCAAGGCAGTGACCGTGAGCACGGGGGACTGAGAGCTGGCAGAACAGTGACCAGGAGAGAAAACAACAGCCAGGGAAGGCTTCATTGCAGACAGAGGAATTTCAGTGCTGCTCTAAAGAGGTTCTTGGCTGACACGAGTGACTGGAGCATGTCAGGGAAGCAGCTTGGTCCTGCACAGCATGTAGGACCTGCTTCAAGATGTTACTGCTCAAGAAATGCTCAGTTAGAGCCACCACAGCCCAATTCAGTGCTGCCTTCCAGCAGAGGCAAAGCCAAGCCCAAGTACCCAGTACAGTCATGCACTGTGCAAAGAACTGGGTGAAGTTTGCTAAAAACTAATATTTTAATTAAAAAATTTTAAGTTTTTAAAGGTTTTAAAGAAACCGGTCTGTCATGTGCTGAGGGAAGATTCACTTACAGTCAAAATACAGGAAACAAAAGATAGAATTAAAAAGTTCATTCTCACAAGAGGTTTCCCTGAGCTCCTGCAGTGGTTTTGCTGTTGATCAGCATATTTACAAGTGATCTTGAAAAGGGAGCAGGGTACACAACCCACTAGCTTCTTTAAGGGAATAAGAAGTAAAAAACTGGGAAAACTCTTCAAGTTGCATAAGGTACTCTCAGCCCCAAACAACTGGGTGAAAAAATGGCAAATGAAAACCAGTGTTCCGAAATTTAAAATAATGTACATGGGGAAAACAGTCTCCCATAAGCACTTGTGGGCTCTGAACTGGCTGCAACCACTCAGAAAAAGAGATGTGGGAAGTAACACAGATGGTTACTGAGCTCTTAGCTCAGTAACCATCAAGAAAGCAAAGGGTTAGTAGAGGAAGGAGGAAGGAAACAAAAAGCATGTGTATTCCAGAATACAGTGCAAATGCTTCTTGAACAGTCTGGTCAGTTTGGATCCTCTGTCTTGGAAGGATAAACTATGTCAGGAAACAGAAAAAGGCACTGGGCTATGTCTGTGCACCTGATACCCTGCATGGACCAGCTGATACATTTCTGAGCTGATTGCTGTGACATCACAGGTTTGAAGCCAGAAGGAGATGTAGCTCATTTAGAACTGGTCTGGTTATACAATATTTACGCAGCACAGATACCTGCAGGACTCACCACCTCTTTCAGAAAGTTATTAATTTGGCTCTTGAAGCTGCCATTTGGCCCATGACTCCTGCTGAGCCCACTGCCTGCAAAACCCACCACACCACCCAGAACAACTCACCTCATTGAAGAGCAGCTCCCTCCTCTGCTGTTTCCTGAGATCCATCTTCTTCACGGCCACCTGCTTTCCCGTGTGCTTCTCGGTGGCGATGCAGACGATCCCCGTGGAGCCCTCCCCGATCTTGATGAAGTTGTCCAAGTACTCCCGGGGGTCCCCGGGACTGACCACAAGCTGCAGGGCAGCTCTGAACTGTTCGTGGGACACCCTGGAGGGCTGCTGGTCCGAGGAGGAGCCCCAGCTGGGTGGAGGGTAAGCACTTGACGTGATACTTGGGGAGCTGGGATAGGAGGCGGTGGAAATATAGGGAGAGCCGGGCTGGAGAGATGGCTGGTGATAGTGGGGTGCTTTGTGGTAGACCAGAGGGTACTGGTAGCTGCTGCTTGAATAGCTGACTTTGCTCTGACTTTGAGGTAGCTTTACTGGGCCCCGGGGGTAGGTGTCTGACCCAGAGAGCGGCGGGCTGACGACCAGCTGCGCTCGATCATAATCCACCTGCAACACAAAAGCAGAGCAGTGACAGCTTTCTGACTCAATTAGTTTCCTGGAGGTCCTCAGTGGATGCCAGCACAACATGGTCCCACGTGTACCTGTACCTGTTCTCCTCAACAGGACACAGCTTGCCTGTGTCTGAACAAAGAGTTTTACACCACTGGGCTGTTGTGCTCTCATCAGCACTCAAATGAGGCCAGGGGAGACCATGAGATCTTTTGTGCATCTCAGGTCCATTCTTCTATCCAGGTACCTGTTTGTAGACACAATAATCCTTTTATAATCACAGAATGGCCTAGGTTGGAAGGGATCTACGCTCCAAAAAGTGTATGTGCTCTGTATCTGCAGTGCCCTGCAGGCTCTCTGGACCATTGCCTCCAAGAATTCATCCCTTTCACAACCAGCAGCCCTTTGGCAAATTCCAATTTATGTCTTTCTTTTCAAATACCAGTACCTGGATTTTGATTCTCAACTCTTAGTCTTTTTTTATGCTTTTCCCCAGCAATCCAGGGATGACCCAACCTCTCCTTGTGGAGGCAGGGATACCCTGAAATCCCTGTCACCTCCTGCCTTGCCACGCTACTGGCTCTTGTTTGAGTGATTGCACACATGGGTATGACAAGCAGCCTAATTCAATTCACCATTTCTTAAATCATTTTCCACAGTGACACACAGTGACTACTGCAGTGTCACGAAACTGCTAATTTTCACCTGAAATCAGAGAAAATCGCAAAGGAAATTGTCCCAGTGGGAGGCCTTGTTCATTTGTAGATTCCCTCCTTATTTTTCTTTTTTTTTTTTATTTTCCAAGCTTCTCTAAGCTTCTTACACTGAAAGCAAACCAACATTTCACAAACATAATAGTTTGAAAAACCAAAGGATGTGAGACAAAAAAAAAAAACCAAAACCCACCCAAAACCTACATTTTTTGCTCTGGAAAAGAGCATCTCCACGTTTTCAATATAACATGTGTGACTCCTGACGACGTGTGGAGCATCTCGGGGCCGGGGGGTGGTTTGACACAGGCTCATCATGTAGCACAATTACAAATAATTATGGCAATGAGTTCATTTAATCAATCAATTTCAGTGGCAGTGCACAGGGATGGACAGAGCAGCAAACTCCGCACAGCTCACGGTTGCTACTATTACTGCTGGCTGCCGGCCAGGAGTCCCTGATCCATGTTAGTTAAATGCACATTAATCTGAATTTGGCAGTGTAATCAAGGACCCAACTGAACTGTGAAATTGAATTCTGCAGTGGAACATCATTTGACCATTTTATGCTAAGACTGCAAAAAGAAAAAAAAAAAAGTAAAAAAAAAAAAAATCTGCCGCAGCATCAATTTATCACTGTGGGCTCTGCACGGAGAGGAGGAGTTTGGAGCTGGAGTCCCCTGGGTGCAGGGAGAAAGGCCTCCAGTGCAATATTGTATCAGTGCTTTTCTGCCTCACGGGTGAGCGGGGGCCCCCTCCTCATCCTGCCAGAGGTTTAGCAGGGAAGGGGGAATGCCTCTCTGGAGGGGCTGCTCGGAGATTCCCCTTGGAAACATGAAGTTGGAGTCTGCTTCCATTCAAGACTCGCACACTGACAGTTTCCAGCCATATGGAGCATCCAGCGAGCACGTAGCAGCGTTGTGCAGCCGCCTCCCAGGATGCTGGTTTTGCCTAAGCAAAAATCCCCATGATTACAGCCATAATTTCCCTTACTCTGCCAGGCAGCGGTGGCCATAATATAGAAGAGAGTCAGAGACACCACGAATTTCATGAAGGACATTACATCTGCCAAACTAATTAACGCAGAAAAGCGCTCAGATGGTTTGGTGGAGGGAGGGGAACTCAATCTAGCCCTGTCCTATATATCTGTGTATGCAGGGACACATAAATTACGGCTTTGGGTGTAAATACACCATCTTCTTTATAACTATTGAGACAGGGAAAGCCCTGTCTGGAAATTCAAGCTGGATAAATCCACGCTAATGAATTCTTTGAGGCTTCACCCATGTCTGGTATTTCTGAGTATGCCCCAGGCTTAACACCTTGGCAAAAGTATATTCTGCAGTGAAATTTTAGAATGAAAATTCAGGTGTTTGGTGTGCTTGCTAGGAATTTGTGAAAGCTTTTTGAGGTTAGCACTGCAATACAACTTAAGCCCATTTACTTCCTGAATCACAAGAAATGTTACAGAAAGTCAGGCGCTGCCACTAATAATTCTATTTCTGCTGCTGAACGCAGTAACCTACTGAAAGGAAATTCTTTAAATACTACAAAGGAAAGAGGAAACCAGCCCTGTGCTCACCCAAGACCAGGTCAAAGGAGCAGCTGAGGCTCTGACACGACATCCATCACGGTGCCGCGGTGCTGCTGCCGGCTGGGTCGCTTCACCAGCTCGCAGCACCTCCTGCACCTGCATGCGGCTACGGCGGCAGCCGGGGCTTTTTGGCATTAAAAAGTGGATGTAACGCTGTGTTCAAACTCATTCCAGTTCCCAATCAGGGATGCCTGTTCTGTACTACACACCTGCTTGTCCCTAAGGGGTTCCTTCCTTTCAGAACCTTTGGCTTTCAGCCGAGCGGGTGTCCCTGTGCGCTCTGCAGTGGGACTGCGGCAGAGGTGGCAGCCACAGCCCTGCAGCCAGAGCCCACGTTCTCCCAGTCCCTGGAGAGATGGACTCACCTCTCAGTAACACAGAATGGATTTCTGATTGATTAGGTTTCAGTAAAAGGTGTGGAAGGGACGGTCTGTAAATCTCACGGAGATCACAAGGGCAAAGGTTACTCTCTGGTGCTTTGCTGATGGAAATCTCCAAGACTCCCTGTTCCATGCACAGAGGTGGCAGGCAGCACTCATGTAAAGCCACTGGTGTGTGAATGAGATGGAAAAAAGGGAAAGGTTTCTGTTAGCAAAGGCTTGGCCCTGCCTTTGCCAGGCTGGAGATGTCCTCCTGGTGCTGAGTCTCTGCAAACCAGCAGCAGGATGATGGTGGTGCTGAGCAGCAGCCGGGTTAGAAAGAGAGAGCTGGGGACAGCAGACATCATGGCTCCTTGGAGGAGGGACAGGAGAGGGTATCATGGAGAGCTCCTACTGTAAAATGACAGGGAAAGGAGCTTTGAAATAACAGGGTCCAGTGCGAAAAGTTAAGAGGGCTGTCTGCAATGAAGAGGAGGGTAAAAAGGAAACATGCAGAGCAGAGTGGCCAAAAATAAGCAGGACTGTGAGACAATATTGAGGTGACTCCATTGAACAAAGTGGGATGTAAACTCTGTGTGGTGAGGGTAACACAGCAGGCCCTGTGACCCCATACAGGTATTAATGGAGTTAATCTACAGGACAGGAGAGCAGGTGGATAACACAGCAGTGGATTGGAGGGAACCAAATCTGAGCCTCCGGCTTCCCACACCTCTCACTGCATCACTGATGAAACCGGGCAGACATTTGATTTATCTGACACTTATCACCTGCAAATAAGTAAGTCTGCTCTTCACATTTACAAGCCAAAATGAACACCTTTGTAAAACACACTTTGATGCCATACGTTTGTGCCTGCAGACTTTTTCACTGCTGACTTTCCCCCCCACTTTTAATTATACTTTACAGCCAATCCCATTTGTAAAATATCTGATTTGAGATCTGATTGTCACTTAGTAAGCCCATTTGATGAACCATTATCTCACTAATGCCTCCTTGAAAAGAAGATTCTTCAGCAATCATCCAGGGCAAGAAACTGCTATTCACTTCCAGGAGCTGTGTATGGGTTTGGGAATTGAAACTGCTGCATTGAACAGTGAATCATCAAGTTTCGATACACCAAGGCTGTAGGAGTGTTTTTGATGCTCTGAGGAGAGAAACACCTCACAATGAATCTTGCATGGAGGCACCTCTTTTTTTTTCCTTAATAAAAGTTGTTACTGCATTTTAAAGGGATATTTTTCGAAGTGCCTGGAGTGCTTTGAGTCCTGCAAAATATACCTCTGCCTTCTGCCCTACTGAATGCTGTAAAATTGGCAGAAGCAGGTGCAAGGGGGTCTCTGAATTATTAGATTTGTCTTTTCTAAACTCTGACAAAACTAATGCTTTCAGTAAGAAAATGGCAACTAACCCATCCCAGGTTTTCCTCACAACTTCCAGAACCCACACTGAAGGCCACACTGGTGCTCAGTTACTACCACACACACTCCTCCCACTACACCCTGAGCTTCAGAAAGAGACCTGGTAACTTTTTTACTACCTCCCTCAAGCTCCAAAACCCAGCTCTGTGCTTTAATGCACCTAAACAGCTCCCTACCTCAGCACATTTGGGAAGTCACAGCAACCCAAGACTTAGAAAAACGAGCCATCATCTCGGTGCCCGTTGCTAGGGGAACTTGGGAATGTTCAGTGCAAGCCACACTGCAAAAGCACCTCTTGCAGAATACTAGATGTTTAAGCAGGTCATCATCGTGGCTACGTGACTGGAGGTGTGAGGAAAGCGGTATTCTCTTAACTGAACAAATAGTTTCAGCAAACTCTTGCAAGGCAGGGCAAGACAGCTTGTGTGGGTAATATTCCTCACGTGGCAGAACAGGTCAAAAACTTATTCAGTGAGCTGCCTGTAGATAACATGGTTGAAATGCTTTTTTGCACATTAGCCCTGCTTTTTTTAAACTACATCTAAAATGTCTTGGGTGAGGTAAGCTGCTTTGATTTCATTTTGCTGCTTAAAAATACAGCAGTTTCACCATTCTCACTAGTGGTGAACCCTGTGATATAAAGATGGCATCAATATAACATAAATACTAAATCACAGAAGTCTCAGCCTTGCACAGTAAAAATTCCAACACAAAAGCATCTCATATACAAACCAGACCAGCTTCTCACCTCCTGCAGAGCTCTGAACAGATGTATGAACTCCCAGTGCTACAAAAAAAACTGCCAAAGAACTTGGGGTTATTGGGAATTCCAAGTGAAATCCCTGGAAGATGCGCATCTCCAAACCTGTTTTATAAACCTATCTTAAACCCTGACATCCTGAAAATGGATGCCCCTGACATCCATTTTCACAGACCTGAGTAAAGAGGGGGGGGGTTTCTACACCCACCAAACAGCGGCCACGAAGCTCCCAGGGATGTCACTGGCCACGTTTGGCATCACGTGCCCAAGCAAAGGCTCCTTGCCCAAAATTTTTTGCACACCCCTAATTTTTTGCACACCCCTAATTTTTTGCACTCCCTTTCTGGAGAGGCTGATCCCTGCCCTGGCAGCTCTGTCACCAGGCATGTCAGGTTACCTTGGGGATGCCTGCTGCGGTTTCGGACAGGCGGGGGTAGGTGTAGGAGCTGTAGGAATGTCCTTGCTGGTGTGCTTTGAACGCGCTCGCTCCGTAGGGCATGGCCGGCTCCTGCAGACCGGAGCCCGACCTGGACCTCTGCCTCATGGCTGGCTGAGGGCTCGCTGGGTCCACGTAGGATGACTTGGGCCTCTTGTCGTAGTCATCCTTGCCCAGGCCGTGTCCCCAGTCGCTGTCACCGTACTCCAGCCTCTCCTTGGGGCACTCGCTCTGCACCGACGCTCGGGACGGGGTGTAAGGAAAGGGATCTCTATAGTCCAGGGAGGATCCGCTGGGGATCCGCTGGTACTCCAGCTTTAGGCCGCCGTATTCCAGCGGTTTGGGCTTGGTGTCCAGGTGTGCATGGTAATCTGGGAGGAATCTGGAGAGGTCTGACTGCAGGGGTGTCACTTCCGAGTAATAGATGTCCCGGGACGTCACCTTCATCATGTGCCCGTTCTGCTTGGCGGCGTAGCTGCCTTTGTAGTACCGCTCTAACTCTTCCCCATAAACAGTCTTGTCTCGATATTTTTCCACGACATAGTCTGTTGTAGTGTCTGACTCACTGGAGTACTGGGAATACGTGATGTAACCATTTTCCTCCTGGTGCCTTGGCACGTGGTTTGCGTTTCCTTGGTGGTGGTGGGTGGGAGGACTTTCCTTCCGCAGGGAATTGGACCTTGTCACTGAGATATTGTCAAACTCTTCCAGCAGGCCGTTGATTGAAGTATCCTTTCGAGGCTTATTTCCTCGAACAATAGTCTGGGAATAAGAAATTGCTTTGATTAAATACTGACTTTTGTTTAATAGCTGATCAAGAAAACCACCGGTAAGTAAAAAAGTCTACAAATCACCCAGAAATACATGTAGTGATGTGTCATGTTCTGCAGTCACATATCTCATTGCTAGGAAAAAAATCTCAATAGATACTTACAGTAGGGCAGAAAGGAAGAAACAAAGAGAGGTTAAATTCAGGGTAGATCATAAGCTAGGATTTGGCATGCAACCCCAAGACATTCTCAAAAAGCCCAGTTTAAGAGGTGGGTGTTCAGTAGCCAACAATAGAAACATTTAAACATCTAAAACCACTACTTATTTTTTATTTGTTATTATTCAGTTGTGTACATCAAGCCAAACTGGTGGGCTGAATCAGATTTAGAGGGTATGCATAAGCTAAAGGAAAATCATTCAGTGTTCACTTCTACATGTTATTTTACCAAACTGCTGGAATGGAAAGTAGCACAAAGTTTAGTAGGCACTGGATTTTCTTGGGTTTTTTTTCCTTTTTTTAAGAAACAGTATGTTCCTGAGTAGAAGAATTGCCACTGGGGACTGACTCTTAGTTAACTTAGAATAAAAGACACTTGGGGAAGAGGGGAAAAATACTTAACTCTATCTCCTTACAATACACAGCATCCAGCAAACCACTGAGCACAACCACGGCTTTGGGACGTCACAGATGCCTTGTTTGTGTCCCACTATTGCGACGTCCTCCACAGGCCCCCTGCCCATCCCTACTCCCTTCCGTCCAAAACACTGATGCTCCTGATAGGATGGGAGGCGAGCAGTGCTCGGTTACAGCTCTCCTTCAAGGAAGACTGGCTGGTTTTAGTTAGTACCACCTGAAGACCATAACCCGTGGCTGAATCCATTTTTCAGCAGCTGGCTCCCACCGAGCACCACTTCACGTCTATAAACACCCGACAAGAATAAGATGTACAGAGCAGTGGCCAGGGCCATAAATCAGTGCAGCTCTACTGAAACACATTTGCTTTGCTGATTTACTGGGGCTAAATATCTACAGCTGGATCTTATTTAACTTACTGAGTTTTTAAACAGAGCCAGTGTGGTCACCCCGAGGAGATGCAGCCTACGTTGCACACTGACTATGGTGTATTGGACACCAACCATGGAATATCGGATGCCTGATCACTGGACCTGCACTCGTTTGCAACACTGACAGAGAGACCACTCAAACTCTGCCTGAAAGCACACAAGGGGCTCAAACTTTGTCAAAACAAGCATTTCAAAGCTACTAAAATAACTGTTTCACAAAATTAACAGGAATGTACTTCTCTGTTACTCACAAAAGGCAGCTGAGAAAAGGCAGCCTAAAAGCAAAGCAGTCCTGACCCCACGCTGATCCCTGCTCTGATTTATGTCTGTAATTACTTGCCTAGTTTGCTATTTTGAAGCCAGTGATACTGAAACAATAGGACAGCAAAAATAAGGGACAGCAAATAGATCACTGCTTTCGCCTCCAAAGCCATTCAGCAGGATGAGAGGAATTGGTTTCATTCGGCTCCAGCCTCTTTGGCAGGATGACTGTGCGATCATTCATACTTAATTATCACATAATAAACCGGCAACATTGGACAATGAAATGCTTATAATTGAAAACAAGATTGAAATACCCGACTGCCACCCCGCTTCCCCTGTGCAAATGCACGCCGAGGAGTAAAGTGCCAATTTAACACTCTCCACGGGACTGGCCTTCACAAAGGAGAGGTTTCCTGCAGCAGCCGCGTTGTGTTTGCACAAAAGGGCCTCGGAGCCAGAGGGAGCCCCTGGGAGCAGAGCAGACTCTTTGGTGATAGAGGAGTTCTCCCTCTGCTCCTCCAAGCAGACGCTGTCTGGAAGCAGGATTTTCAGACACCTTCAGAAGGAAGATTTAGAAGAATGCAGCTGAGTGTTTATGTGTTAGGGAATTCATTTATGACAAATCCCTGCAGCTCGGGGATTTTCTGCAGACAGGTCCATGCGTGGGAGCAACCTTTTTGATTATGGGGACTTAAAAATAGTACTAACAGTAAAATGGTTTTATAGGAAATTCTGATTTAAGAAAAAAAAAAAGGCATTTGCCACAGAAGCCTCAGTCTGATGAAGCTGTCTTGGATAGCTCTGGGACCTCAGTGCTGTCTCATCCTGACTGATGAAGTTAAGGGGATTAAGAACTAAACTCCTTTTCTTTTATCCCAGCATTTTAAGGATGACTACTGGCAAACACTGACTTGCAAGGGTGATGGCTGTAATTTCTGTTGGCTTCAGGCTCCTCTCCATGAGAAAATTAAAAGGGCCAGCGCAAAGGGAGGATAAATTTACCTACTCCAGAGGCACATTTTCTACTGAGTAGTCAGTGCTTTGTTACTAACAGTTATTATCAACTGTGATCATTATTTATGGCTGATAAGAAAAACAATATTCCTATTTGCCTTGGCTTGTTTTTAAATTTTGCACTTCCCTTATGCGGAAGGACATAGATCATGGTGAGATGCCCTCGGGCTAAATCAGACAGCCTACACCAACTTTATCTTTTCCAAGGAAGTATCTAGCGTCATTCCTACCAAAAGAAGATAATTTAGGAAGCGTTTCACAAGACCCTATGAAACAAAGCTATATAGTCAAGGATTTTGCTATCTGAATAGAACTTCAGATGATTATACACAAATGTGAAATACAGTGGGTGCCTCCCTGATAGGCAGAACCATTAACCAGGCTTAAAAACCAAATTAATATCCCAAAGCAGGTATCAGTCTATAGAAGTAATAAGAGTAACTGCTCTGTACAGATGAGAAGAGCACAAATTATTAAAAAATGAAATCAAAGAAGATGCTACAAAGAATAAAACATACGTTGTGCCATGTTAACCTGTCCTGAAGTCATTTACTACAGAGAAAGTGCGTGCTGGGGGCTTGATATGACCCACAGCTTTCCTGGGAAGCACAGTATTTGCAGAAAGATGCCAGAGATTGAGAACTGCCATAACCATGGCCCAAATTCCCAAACCTGAGAGTCCAATGTTAGTGCCAGGCCTCAGAGAAGTCCCCAGGTTTAAAGGAATGAATTCAGTGGAAAGACCAAACTGCTGATGTGGGATCTTAGTTTGGGAATGAAGTGGTCTTGGTTACTAAATCACCAGGCTGGACACTGCACCAGTGAGCAGTGGGAAAACTTCCTGGGACTGAAATACAAGGGCAGGAGTCACAAACAATGGGAAATTCTAGCTCTACCTTAAAAAGCAAACCAAAAACCTTGAGGGAAAATGTACCAGAAAAAGGCTACATCAAAAGTGATACAAACACAGTTATCCTGGTAATTAGTGTCACGGCAAATAGACTAGTTTTTCTCAATTTTAAAGTCTTAGAAACTGGGGGAAAAAAAAGTGCTTCAATATAAAGAGTGAATTCTATCTCTCTCTATAATTCTACATATATTTACATAGATTGCTTTCTAAATTTTCTAAATCGTTTTCTAAACAACAATTTGAGGAATTTTCAAAGTTGCTGAAGTAGGCAGTTAAAAGCAAAGCATTACTTGCAAAGGGCTAAGACTTCCGAGGCCTTTGTTTCTGTCTGTTGTAATCAGGTAATGGAAACGAGCACATGGAAATGGAAAACCAGGATGGGGCCCTTCCGCAGGCGCAGCTTTCACAGGGTTCGCCGCGGAAAGATGGGATCTGTGACAGTCAATACCCCATGTTTATTAAAGGACGTTTTCCAGTGCACTGTGCAGTTTAGGAGGGATCGATGTTCCAGGAGATGAAGGAGGGCCGGTGAATTTTCTGCTCCCGTTGCCGTCTCACATGAAATCAATGGGGCGCAGTCCCCGTGAATTAACGTGCGGTACGCCGGAGCTGGAGCTCTCCCGTCATTCCCACTGCTCCCCGCACAGGTTTGGCATCTCCTCCCGAGCCTGGTGACAGCAGACATCCTTCATGGTGCTTCTGCAGCGGCCTGTCCTCCGGTGATAAGCTATAATGGATCTGTCTGTAAGAAACGCTGTCTCGCCTTGTTTCCAAAAGGAGATGAAAAACAGCTTCTGTGCTCAAATGCTGTATTAACCTTGACAATAATGAAGTGGGTAATTAACTGTTTTGCCCTAATGCGACCTTGCATTTATTGTCTTTAGAACTACTATACTTTAGGCACTCGTTAAGAATATATCATCCTTTGTCCTCCCAGAGCTGTGTTTTCAGAAGTCAATGAGGACTCTAAATCTCTGTGATGTGCAGGATGAAAAACAAAAGGTATTTTAAGGAAAGGTTGCCCCTATAAACAGCCAATCTAAACTCTGATTTTGCCTCTAGCTAGCTTCTCCCCTCATTTGCATTATACATAAACTAAAAGCACAGCCTATGCATAGCTGAAAATCAGCTTTTTTTTTCTTAACAGAAGGTGCATAAAGCACAGATGGTCAGAGTAATCTAAGTGATGGATGTGTTGGTAATTTATCTTCTTGTGTTGCAAGACATTCAAAGTATTTGAAACTGTGTTCATGTTTTACTCCTCAGCACTACCTTGGAGAGAAAAACTAATCCTTGTCAGCTATCCAAGGGAAAACTCTGGCTTTCCCTGTTTCACAACTGCAGCCAGGGGTGTAAGAGGTGCTGGGGGTCTGTATTTGATCTATTCTTACCAGAAGAAAAAGTACCTGGAGGAGGAAGGACTTCTTTGCTGTGCAGGTGACTGAGCAATGGAACAGGTTGCCCAGAGAGGGTGTGGAGCCTCCCTCTCTGGAGATATTCCAGAACCGTCTCGACACAATCCTGTTCCATGTGCTCTGGGTTGACCCTGCTGGAGTAGCGAGGTGGGACCAGATGATCCACTGAAATCCCTTCCAACCTGAGCCACACTGTGATTCTGAGACCTCAAAAGAGCTGAAGTCCTTCAAAACTCCTGGGGACAGCCGCAAGCGTGCAGCAAAGCCTTGCTTTTTCCAGCAGCCCAGGGTCAGCATGAGGTGGGCTCTGTTCCTTGTTTGTG